TCCAACCCCTTAACATTCTATGACACTGTCTAAAACACCCACAAGCTCCAGAACAGACACTGGGGTTGACTCTTCATGAACTAACTGTGATACTATGATTATTCCTACAGAATGGGGCTAGAAGGACCTTAAAGGTCCTATGGGCAGGGACACCTTCCACTAGCCAGGTGGCTCCAAACCCCATCCAGCCTTGCCTGGGATACTCCCAGGGACTAGGATCCCTCCATGAAGAGTCTCTAGGCCTGTTGGGCTCTTTTCCAGCCCTGTGAGAACACAAACTCTAATTCCACAGTCAGAGAGGGGAATGAGTTACCGCAGCTCTAGCAGTGCTGCAAAATGCCTCATTAGCTCTGAGTGGTGAGAACCACACAGAACATCAATTTTACTAACAGGTTAACACTGTGTTTTGTAGATAACACTGAGCACTTGAGAAGCCCAAATGAGTTTAATTGATGATGGTTCTGCCCAGTGGGAACTGTCAGCAATGACAGACAGTCAAGAGCTGAAGGCACAGCCACACCAGCTCTGCATGGCACACACCACAGAGCCATTTGGTGACAAGGCTTCAGCACAGATCTAACACTTGATTCTAAGCTTTGAATATTTGCTATTGTGATTTAAAACCTTAAACTGTCACAGAATCATCAAGGCTGGAAGAGATCTTCAAGATCATCTCATCCAACCATCAACTCAGCACCACCACCATCACTCCTAAACCATGTTCCCAAGTGCCACATACACATTTCTTGAACACCTCCAGGGATGGTGATTCCACACTCCCAGGGCAGCTGTGCCAGGACCTGACCACCCTTTCTATGAACAACCTTTCCCTAATATCCAATCTAACCCTCCCGGGCCAGGAGGGAGGAGATGGAGGAGGAGTATATGATAATGATTTCTGAGAACTAATTATAATAACAACCACCCATTCCTGGAAATAATGAACATGTATGAGCATTTAATATATACAAACTGTGAAGTTTTTGTCCCTGGTTGCACAAGTTTGGTAGAGTGATCCCCCTTGTGCCCAGCACTGAATAAACAAATACCTGCTACTCAGAGATACAAGTCTGTATCTGTGAGTAGTTCTTTTACAGCCTTTTCTCAGCATCAGTTTGGCACAGCTTGAGGCTGTTTCCTCTTGTCCTGTCCCTTGTTCCCTGGGAGCAGAGCCTAACCCCACCTGGCTGCACCTCCTGTCCGCAAGCTGGAGAGAGCAGAAGGTTCCCCTGAGCCTCCTTTTCTCCAGGCTGAGCTCCCCCAGCCCCCTCAGCCCCTCCTGGTGCTCCAGCCCCTTCCCCAGCTCCATTCCTGGACGGACTCACCCCTCAATGTCCTTCTTGTCATGAGTTGCTCAGAACTGTCCCCAGGACTGGAGGTGCCTCAGCAGTGCCAGCACAGGGGCATGGTCACTGCCCTGTCCTGTGGACACACCATGGCTGGGACAATCTAGGTGTCACTGGCCTTCTTGCCCACCTGGGCACACCTGGGCTCATGTCCAGCTGCTGTCACCCTCACTCCTGGATCCTTTCCAGCCACTCTGCTCCAGCCTGGAGCATCCCATGTGGTTGTGGTGACCCAAGAGCAGGACCAGCACTTGGCCTTGTCAACCCTCACACTGTTGGCCTCAGCCTATGGATCCAACCTGTCCAGATCCCTCTGCAGAGCTCCCTGCCCTCCAGCACACCCACACTCCCACCCAGCTTGGTGTCATCCATGAACTGAGTGAGGAGGAGCACTCAATCCCCTCATCCAGACCATCAACAGACACCTTAGACAGGACTGGGCCCAGTACTGAGCCTGTGGAACTGTGCACCAAGCAATGTGTGGTCACCTCTGCATGAGCTCTACTCAACCCACTAGAGGAGGACCCAGTGCCACCACCCTCCAGAGGAGTCAGTTGGGCCCAACCAACCCCACTAATGAATGTGAGAACTAATGATCAAGTGAGCCCATACTCACCAGGGCAATCCAGAGGACAATATACTCATCGATGAAGCTGTTGAAGTATTGGTCGAGGAAGAGCAGTGCTGGGCCTATGAATGCTGTGTCATACAGGTACATCTCACTCTTAGTCATGTGGGCAACCTGCAGCCACAAAACCAAGGGAGATTAGAGCAATGAGCATGGAGCAGCCAAGGCAGAGTCACTTCAGACCACACAGAGCCAAAAAAATCACAGTCGAAGCCAAATTACTGCAAGTTCTATCAAAAGTTGAAGTAGCAGCAGCAATATGGTGGACTTCTACAGCTCCACATGAAGTTCTGCAGCTCCAAATGGAGTTCTATAGCTCCACGTGGAGTTCTACAGCCACATATGAAATTCTACAGCTCCACGTGGAGTTCTACAGCTCCACATGGAGTTCTTCAGCCATACATGGAATTCTACAGCTCCACGTGGAGTTCTACAGCCTCATGTGGAGTTCTACAGCTCCACATGGGGTTCTACAGCTCCACATAGAGCTTAAGCTTTATCACTGCCCTTCCAAACCCCAGACAGGCTCTGCTGCACCTCCAGGCAACTCAAGGTATCTCCTCAGTGCACACACAGTCAGTGGAAAACCCAGAGAACTTCAGTATCTCCAAGAGGTTTCACTACCAGGAGGAACTGGAAGGTTCTGGCACACTTACCACCAGTTTGTTGGTTATTTTGGCAGACACAAAGCCAAAGGTCAGTATGTACAGGCAGGGATGTCTCTCAAAGAGCTGCACAGCTGATTTCTTGTAGATCATTGCGGCCAAGGCTATCACTGAGCCAATGTGAAGGAAAGGAGAGAGGACACTGGTTCCCTGCAGTGAGATTACAGCCTCAGGTTAGCAAAAGGTGCAAGCACAGTGCAAAGAAACCTCAATAAAGCCCTCACAGGGTGTGCAATGTGTGTGGGGAAATAATATCACATTAAAAACATGTCTTTCTGCTGACAGGAACAAAGGGTGGTGAGACCTGAGAGTAAAACAGCTGAGAATGTGGTGGAAACTTTCTTGTGCAGGGGAGTAAATGAGATTTTAGGCAGCAAGAACCAGAAAGTACTTGTGCAGATACCTCCAATTCTACTTTGACACTGCTAATACCAATAAGACACATCTTTCTGAAGGATCAAAACCATAACCATCTTGACAGATTTCCTTCTGGATGGATTTCTGCACTGGATTCGTTCATGAGCTCTCAGGGCTGTGTGTTTGTACAACCTGGTTTATGTCGCCAATTAAAACACAAATATCAAAGTACCTTGAGGACTTTTAATCCTATATCTCCTGTTCTTCCACACATTACGAGGAGAGGCTGAGGGAGCTGGGATTGTTCAGCCTGGAGAAGAGGAGGCTCAGGGGAGACCTTATCACCCTCTGCAACCCCCTGACAGGAGGTTGGAGTCAGGTGGGGGTTGGTCTCTTTTCCCAGGCAACCAGCAGCAGGACAAGAGGGCACAGACTCAAGCTCTGCCAGGGGAGGGTTAGGTTGGATATCAGGAAGAGATTTTTTACAGAGAGAGTGCTCAGGCATTGGAATGTGCTGCCCAGGGAGGTGGTGGATTCACCATCCCTGGAGGTTTTCAAGATGAGCCTAGATGTTGTACTCAGTGCCATGGTCTAGTAACCACGGTAGGGTTGGACTTGATGATCTTGGAGGTCTCTTCCATCCCAGCTGATTTTATGACAGTATTAACTTCTTATTCCCAAGCCAGCAAGGAACTGAAAGGAAGATAATCCCCATGCAGGAGGGAGTGTGTTGAATCCAAACTAAAGGTGTGGCTGAGAAGCCTCAGAGGGCTGAGGAGGAAGAGGCAGAACAAAGTACTCACTGCTATAGTAGATCCATTCTTGCCAACTCCACCCGTGAAGATGACACCAAAATAGTTTGTACAGGAGAAGATGGTTCCTGCCACAGTGCACAAAGCTGGGAAAATTTTCACCTGGATATTCAGGATTGGAATCTTAATGGGAGAGAGACAAGAAGTCAAAACACGCACAAAGAAACTAAACATTCATCCAATTTGGCTTAATACTTTGGTGCACTCAAACACTCCACTTTCCACATTATATTTGTTTTTCTCTGCTAAACAGAGGTTTAAATTCCTACAAGGCCCAGGGAAATATGGATTTGCCACTAATCAGTCCCTCAAGCTTCCCATGAAGCCAAACTTATCTTCAGTCACCTGAGAAGAAGCACCAAAAGCAGGGAAGAACCTGCTCTAGCTAAATCACTCAGGGAAGAGAACTCATCACTCAGCTGGTTGGAAAACTCAAACCAAGGTCAAACTGGGCAAAGCAAGAGCTACTGGGGGTGGTTGGATAAACCCCTTAAGACACTGGATCCTCTCTTCTAGCCAAGCAAACAGCTGAGAAGTGACCCCAGAGCCAGAGCCAGGAAAGGAAGCAATGAGGTTGCTAAAGGGGCAAATGAGCACAAGCAGTTTTGAAAGGTTCCTTCACTTTCTAACAGTGATGGTTCAGGCACAGCAGGAGAAACTAGAAATGAAGAAGAAAGAGGCCAAACCAAACCACAGGAAATGTTATGGAAGTGAGTGTTCAGAGATAATCACCCCAAACCTCTCAACTTTATCTGGACAACCACTAAAAGTCTTCAGGGGCTCTGAATTCAGGAACTAACGCCATGGAACTCAACTGAATGGCACCTAATCAGGAGTTCAGCTAGGAACCAGCTCGAAGGGGAACAAGGTGTTTCTATCTTGCTTCAATTAGTATCACAGAATGTTAAGGGGTTGGAATGGACCTCAGAGATCATCCAGCCCCAACTCCCTGCCCTGGGCAGGGACACCTCCCACCACAGCAGGTTGCTCAAGGCTTTAGCCAACCTGGCTTTGAACTCTGCCAGGGTTGGGGTAGCCACAGCCTCCCTGGGCAACCGCTGCCAGTGTCTCACCACCCTCACAGGGAAAAAACTCTCCCTAATATCTAATCTAAATTTCCTCTTTCAATTTATCTCCATTCCTCATTGTCCTGTCCCTGCAGCTTCTAACCAAGAGTCCTCTGCTACACTCCTCTAATTCCACTCTCAGTGTAGCTTTCAGCAGTGAACGATCATTAGTTTTACATCAAATTCAACAACGTAATCTCTTGATCTTTTCAGGGCATAACTAGAGGCAGAGCCAGCTTCAACCCTCAGTGCCTTGGGCAGCTACAGGTGAGCACCCAGCCCACCTCTCCAAGCCCTGCCAGCTGGCACAGCTTCACTGCACTCACACACATTCCTCCTCTGCTCAGGCTGCCTTGGGAAGGCAAAAAGCCTTTTCTGGAAGATAGCAGAGGAAGAATAATAAGCATTAAAGAGAAGGCATGACACTACCTGCAACCCCTCATTAACGTCAGGAGGCACAGGACTTGCCAAGGTCTCCTCAGCCTCTGCAGGCAGGTACCTGTGTACCCTCTGCTCCAGAAACGATGCTTTGGTATTTAAAGACTGAGGTGAATTGGCTTTTACAAGCAGAGGAAAACAAGCTCCACACAGGAGTCAAAGCTATTAAGCTTGACATTTCCCCAAGGCAAGGGGACTTAGCTGGAAAAACACCCCATGAACTGCCAACTGCTACTAACACACCTAAGAAATGCTCAGGAAAGGCAGGAGGATGAGACCATACTGGTAGGACACTCAATTTGGCCAGTTCTGTCTTATTAATACCTCCTTTTGCTTCCATGGAGCAGTGATAGGCATGAGACTGCAGAACTAATGAATGAGAAACTAAGCTGCATACAGGAATTTGGCAGAGCAAAGTCAAGGAAGAGGAATTAAAAGCCAGCAGGGCTCTGCATATGAAATGGAAGCAGCAAGGCCAAATGTTGGAAGCAGCAAGATCAAGCAAAATCAGATTTGTGTATTTTCTCCTTCAGAGTAGAAGTAGGAAATATTCCTACAAAATGGCATTGCAGGCCCTGAATTTTTGACTCAGAACCCATGACTTAAAAGCCCTGGGGCAGGGCATTCCCAGACACACCTTGAGGCTGGGGGAGAAGCCACTGAGAGCAGCCCTGGGAGAAGGACTTGGAGGTGATGAGAATGGCTTTAAGCCCTGATTTAAGCCATGAGGCTTCCTTGTCTGGCATTCCATGGATCACTACAGCCCATGCAATTATTCATCCTGGTCATTGGGTTTCATCCCAAGGCAGAAGGACATAGAACTTCACAGACCATGTCAGCAATGTAGGGAAGTCTCAGCAGCCAAATCTTGTGCAGCTAAAGCATGTTCTCCCTTAAATCCCTCGTGATTACACGAGAGAGGCTGCACTGCCCAGGGAGCTGCTGAATCCAGGTACCTCCTGGCAAACAGCATTCCAGCTTGGATGGGGCTTGGAGCAACCTGGGCTAGTGGAAGGTGTCCCTGCCCATGGCAGAGGGGTGGAATGAGATGAGCTTTAAGGTCCCTTCCAACCTAACCCATTCCATGGTGCTATGATTCAGATTGATGGCGCTTGAGATTTGGATTAGATGTTAGGAAAAATGTTTTCCCTGTTAGGGTGTTCAGGCACTGGAATTGTCCATGGAGTCACCATCTCTGAAGGTGTTTAAGAGCTGTCTGGATCTGGTGCTGGAGGATATGGGTTAGGGTTTAGGGGTTCCAGCAGTGACAGGTTAATGGTTGGACTTGAGGATCTCAGAGGTCTCTTCCAACCTTGATTCCATGATTCCAGATTTTGGCTGGGAAAATCCCAGGCATGTGAACAAAAACAAGTGGCAGCAGGCAAAGAGCAGAACCACAAGTACTTGCCAGGGCCTGCAGTAACACAAGCCCAGAATCACTGACAAAGAATTCATGTCAGGGCTCCAGAGCAGATGCCATGAGAGCTTTGTGCAGCAGCAACTGGGATTTGTAAACAATATTGTTAGGAAAGAGTCAGGAAAAGAGCTAAAAGGCTCATGGAAACTGCAGTGAGGAGGAGGTTAACAAGGGGAAGTGCTGGGTGCTACACCCAGGATGGGGCAGCACTGGGTGGACCTACAGACTGGGGAATGAGAGGGTGGAAAGCAGTGCAGTGGGAAGGGACCTGAGGGTCCTGGTCAATGGTAAGTTGGATACAAGTCAACTGTGCGCCCTGGGAGCCAGGAGGGATGTCATAGAATCATAGAATTTTAGGGGCTGGAATTGAGCTTAGAGATCATCCAGCCCCAATCCCCTGCCCTGGGCAGGGACACCTCCCATCACAGCAGGTTGCTCAAGGCTTTAGCCAACCTGGAATGAGCATTGCCAGGGTTGGGACAGCCACAGCCTCTCGGGGCAACCCGCGTCTCACCATGTCCTGAGGTGCATAAAACAAGGCATTGCCAGAGGGAGGGGGAAGTGATTATCTTGCTCTGCTCTGGGACAGCCTCACCTTGAATACTCTGTGGTTTTGGGCACCACAATACAAACAGGATTTAAAGCTATCTGAGAGACACAAAGGTGCTGAAGGGCCTTGAGGGTCACATGAGGGGAGTCTGAGACACTTGGGCTGTTCAGCCTGGAGAAGAGGAGACTGAGGAGAGATCTCATCACTCTATACAACTTCCTCCCAAGGGGCAGTGGAGAAGCAGCTCTGACCTCTCTGTGACCAGTGACAGGACACAGGGAATGGCTGGAGCTGTGTCAGGGGAGGGTTGGGTTGGATATGAGGCAAAGGTTGTTCCCCCAGAGGTGTTTGGGCACTAGAACAGCTCCCCAGGGCAGTGGTCACAGCCCCAAGGCTGATAGAGCTCCAGGAGTGTTTGGCCAATGCTCTCTGGCACAGGGTGGAATGTTGGGTGTCCTGTGCAAGGCAGGAGTTGGATTGATGATCTTGTGGGTCCCTTCCAGCTCAGGAGATTCTGTGATGTTCCATGAGCAGACAGAAACACCTCCTCCAGACACTTCTGGCTAGCTCAGGCACAAACCCCACAGCTAGCTCAGATCCTAGGAGTCTTCTCCTGAGGCTGGATCCCAGCTGGAGCTTGGAGCTGGACACATCAGTCACCTGTGTCAGAGGAACACCTTTCAGCAGGCCAAACCCCATCCTGCTTCATGTTGATGAGGTGTTTGTGCTTTAAAGATGATGTTTTGGGATAGAACTCCAGCAATGCGGCACTCTTCCTCGCTTCAAACAGGAAAACAAACAGTATACCAATGTACTACCCAAGATGCCTTCAGCTTGCTGACTTCACTCCAGATGAGGATCACAGCTGTACTCACCATCCCTCAGAACTTCCCCAGATCCAGGAGCCTTGAGAACAGCATTTGGGAGGCTTTTAAGAGAATTTACCTGGCAGAAAGGAGGAATCCAGGACAGGTACACACACTTCCATGGAATAAAACAATCTAATGCAAACAACAATTGCCAAACCACACAGTATTTCATTCAGCCTATCCAGTTCTTGGCTTTTCCCAGGAGAAAGTGGAATGTTTGAGCACACAACCACATTTATCCCATGATTTTTCCCCCAAGAGAGAAGCAAATCAAACCCACCAATTTTGCCATGCCAGAGAACACGACAGGATTAGAGGGTTGGGGTGAGGAGGGGCTGGGGGAGCTCTTTGCTCTGCAAGGAGTAAATAACATTACTACAGGCACTACTCCACTCCACAGGCACATAAGATCTCACTCGTGGAATGAAGCAGGAAAATACCTAATGGCCATGGAAAACCTGAGTGGGGTTAGAGAAATGCTCCTTTAACCCAGCACAGGCCCCAAAGGAGTTTCATCTCTTTGGGTCTGACTTAGCCAAATGCTGCTGCAACCCACAACTTCTAATAGATTTCAGGATTGTGGCTGAAAAAGGTTATTAAAAAGGCTATTTTGGAGCTACTTAAGCTATTTACTAGCAAGAGAACCATTTGTAAGCTCCCAGAAAATCACTGACTTGTGCTGTGGCAGCATTTTCCCCTTGAAACTGAGAACATAAATTGAGCAATTCCATTTCTAACTCAGAGTAATAAATCACATCTGCATGGGGATGTTGCCACAGTAAGAACAGGGGGGAATTGAGCCCCAAAAATCTGACCTGGAGCCTCATTTTTAGTCTCCAATCAGCCCTGCCCACACTCAGCCCCTTCGGATGGGATTTACCTTGCAGTTTAGGTCATTAATTAAGGGTTTAGGGTGTTTTTTAGGCCTGGAAGCACAAGTAGCCAAGGTTAGCTCTGGTTTGGGATCCTCTCCCCAACGTTAGAGGCTTTGGCACTCTCAGCATGTGCAGCACATTAGCCATTCAGGAACACACTTCAGGAATATTTGACCATCTCTTGGTTTCACTGACATCAAGATTTCTTTATCCTTCAGAGCTGCATTTATCAAGTACATATAAAATTACTGATTTTTAGATGTATCTTTCTACATACTATATAAACCTGCAGCCAGGCTGACACAGTCAGGTCATTTAATCAGGATTATATCAGTTTAAAGGGGGGAAAAAGTGACACTATGATTTTTTTTCCCCCTCACACAAAGCACAGTCATCAGCCACATTTAAGCTAAATCATTTCCTGGGGGTTCTCAACTGCTCTCCAAGATTTCCCTATATCCTCAGCTTCATTTAATGCTCCTCCATCCTCATCCCTATTTAATGTTCATCCACTGCTCCTCTGGTTTGTTGCTTGATATTAATGGAGCTTTTGGCTAGGATTTCTCTGCAGGATCATTTAGCTTTGGGCAAGATTTGACAGTTTTCACCCTGCAGACACAGGATATGAAGTAACAACTTGTTTCCTAACTCTGGTAGGGTCAGAACCCACAGTTAATTCCACGAGATCTCTCTTGAAACATAAACACCCCCATTTGTGAGGACAAGAGAGACAACCTGAACTGCCCCAAGGTGCAGCAGCTTCTCCAGGGCACTAGGAGGTCACTGCCAAGGGTCACAAAGGAAGAGGAGCAGAATTACCAGAGATTGCCAAAAAGGAGGTCCTCCAATCACTGCCAGCAAGTGCATGATTATTATGAAGATTTGTACTTCAGTCACATCAATTCTGATTAGGTACAAAAAGCCCAAAAAAGAAAACAAAACAAAACAAGAAGCAACAATTATTCCAAAGCAATTTCCAGTCAGTTATTGGCAGCTCAGCACAGCAACTCTGTCATGCACAGGATGAACACCACAAAACGCTGAGGGGAAGAGGTCAAAAAAAGGAATTTTGACAAATCTATCTAGTTGTATTGTTAATTTTAACAGTGATGCTGTGTTATACTTCGGGTTTATTTCACAGTGCAATGCAAATAATCCATGTAATCACTAGGAAACGTTGGAACTCTTCACTGCCCAATGCCAGAAACATTCACTTTTAACCTTATCCACCAAAAAAAAGGAACTGATTACAGATGATAAACCTCTGAAAAGATATTTTTAATCAGTTGTATTGTTAATTTTAACAGTGATGCTGTGTTATACTTCGGGTTTATTTCACAGTGCAATGCAAATAATCCATGTAATCACTAGGAAACGTTGGAACTCTTCACTGCCCAATGCCAGAAACATTCACTTTTAACCTTATCCACCAAAAAAAAGGAACTGATTACAGATGATAAACCTCTGAAAAGATATTTTTAATCCCTGTTATATTCCCTACCCTGTTTTCTTCATATGAATCCTCTCTCTGAATAGCATCAGGATTTAAACAGCAACACAAATCCCTCCAGGGTTGATGCAAATGGTGCAGAGGATGAAGTGTAAAGGTCACACAAGCAGCAAGAGAAAGCACTGCTGGTCCTGGCAGAGTCAGGAGGTGCTGCATGAGGGCAAAGAGGAAAGGCTGAGGGAAAAAAAGGGGATTTATGGCTTGTTTGAAAGGGAATGTGAAAGGCTTGGAGAGAGCAAGAGGGAAAAATAGGTGTACAAAGGAATGGCAGAACTAGGAGTAAAGAAAAATACAAGTGAAACAGAGGATGGACTTGCTGGTGTTATAGTACATAAATATATGTGTCATATATAAGTTATATATAATATATACATTATAGCCATATAATGTATATTTATAGTTCCTTTGTTAGGAACTTTGTTAGGACTAGATTATCTTAGAGGTCCTTCCAACCTTGAGGATTCTATGATAC